AAAAGCAAAATCAAAAAGATCCGAAATAGACCCTTGTTTTACACTTGTCGTTAAACAACGACAAGTGTAAAACATCTATCAGACTTAGAAGAAAGGCTTTAAGAGACTTTTTAAAAAATGAGCCTACAACTAAAAACATGCTAAAATTAAAACAACTACGGACAAAAAACCGAAAAATAATAAAAGACAGCAAAAATGAAAGCTGGAAAAATTATGCCAACAAACTGAACTCTGAGGCAAAAGCAAAAACTGTATGAAACATGGTTAAGAAGATAGCCGACAAATACCACTCTAATGCAATAAAACACCTCACCAAAAATAACAACAAAATAACCCAGGAAAAAGACATTGCTGACGAATTAGCAGCTACTTTCTCAAAATACTCATCAGCTACAAATGGAAACCAAATAATTCATCAAGTTTAAACAAAAAGCTGAAAAGCAAAGACTAAATTTCAAATTCAACAGCGACGAAAGCTACAACCTTCCTTTTACAATAGAGAAATTAAAGGAATCTTTAAGAAAAAGCTAGAGATATGGCAGTAGGACCAGACGACATCCATTATCAATTCATAAAGAAAAAAACTACCAAACAAATTACTTCAACTACTGCTAAATCTGCTGAACAACATATGGAAAAAAACACTTTCCAGAGCTATGGAGACAATCTATTATCATCCCCATCCTGAAACCTGACAAAGACGATTTAGAACCAGGAAACTACAGGCCAATAGCGCTAATGAGCTGCCTCAGCAAAACAATGGAAAGGATGGTTAATTACGGACTAACTTGGTATCTAGAAAAAAAGCAAATTAATCAGCGATTATCAATGTGCTTTCAGAAAAAAAAAGAGAAGTACCATAGACCATTTGGTTCGGCTAGAAACCTTTGTCAGAGAAGCTTTTATCCCAAAAGAACATCTAATAGCAGTGATCTTTGGCCTAGAAAAAGCATATGATATCACATGGAGGTATGACATCCTAAAAGATTTATACGATCTAGGCCTAAGAGTTAGACGTAATCTCAGGAAGCACCCGAAAAAACTTTATAATTCTCTCCGATTCACTATTCGTACTAATATCCCTGAAAGGGAAAAAAACTGGATAAGCCACAAATTAATAATATCCTCCACAAACTATTTTATATGGAAGAGAAGAACATCCTTTTCTGCTGGATCCTGGGCCACATTGGAATCAAAGGAGAAAACAAAACGGACACAGCAGCCAAACCCTCACTAAAAATGAATATAGACAAAAACATAAAAATATCATAGACAGATTTGAGACCCGAAATAAACAAACTCATCAAGGAGAAATGGCAGAAAATATGGGAAAACTAAACCAAAAATAAACTCCATTAAATAAAACCTACAATCAAACAATGGAAAAGGGACTCAGATGATACCCGAAGAAAACAAGTTCTTATGACTACGAATAGGACATTCACACTTGACTCACGCTTACATCCTGAAGAGGATGGATCCTCCAATTTACTCCCGCGGAAGCAGACTCACAGTGGAGCATTTCATATTGAAGTGCAGAACTATCACCAAAATAAGACGAAAATATTATAACCATAAGAGCCTCAAAAGAGTCTTTGAAGAGATAGACACCAACAAGATATACAGTTTCCTTTCAAAAATCGCCATCCATAACCATATTTTAAAACCCCAATGCCCAAATTAAACTCTGCTAAATTACTTACAAGAGCCTCTAAGGCCGGAATATCAAAATATCTATCTATATGTCAAAGTGTGATTATCAATCTATCTGTCTGATTGTCAAGGTGTAAATATCAACATATATATCTTTATATCGAAGTATGAATGACAAACTATCTATCTACTTATCAAGGCCCAGATATCTATTATTGGCATTAAATAACCCAACGAGGCTGATAAACCGTAAAACACAAACAAACAAACAAATTATTACATAAAATGTTCGGATATCACATGTCGCGGTTTAAGTGAAAATATGAGATTATTGTTATTTTTAAGCACAGATAATCGGAACTAGAAAAGAAGATTGCATTGTGGGAACAGCCTATATATTTTTGAACATTTGAAGTCAAGTTGTCGTTTTTTAATAGGCTTTGATCAATAATTGCAGACGTCGGTCGGTAATAAACTGTTAAGATTCTGATTAGCCTTAAAATATTTTTAATGGACTATCTTAAATCTGATAAAAATGTCAATTGTTTTTTACGTTAAAGAATTTACCATTATCTTTGTCGAAATTTGAAAGTTTATTTTTTTTTAAATCTTTTTTCTTTTATGTGCTATACCACTTCAGAAGATGAGCATGATTTCCTGTTTTTATTGCTCTAAGTAACATTTGACTCAAACACATCATATTTGTTACTGTCTATATTTCTGAGATGAGGTATTATGTATTATGTGCCATGTATCCTCAAGGATATATGGCACAGTGGATAAAGGTGTTGGTTAGATCCAGTGACAGGACCCAAAGAGTGTGTGTTCAATAGCCGGTTAAGGTAGTGGAGAACTTTCAGAGGGAAATTAGCAGGATATAACTGATAACTGACATCCATCAAAACATGGCACGTGGAATTAGAACAGTCTACCCCAGTGAGCGATATAAAGGGTTCAGTTCGAAATTCCAACCACCTGAAGAAGGCCGGAGCGTACAACGGCCGAAACGTTGTGATATATATGGTGACAAAGATGAGGACAATAGTCCGAATAATGTAAATAATATTTATTACTGTTATGCCTTTCATTCATATAAACTCGTTAAGTAGTTTACCCGGTTTTAACCTTTATTCTCATCATTTAAATATATCCTGCGGATGTCAAGTTTTCTAATCCCAGAAATTGCCGCCTCTTTTTTCTAATTCTAAGACACAGTTCTTATTTTATGTAAGATGTCTTCTTTATTCCCATATGCATTATATATATTCTTAGGATTTGTCGGCAGAAACACACCTCTGTCGTTTTCAAGTCTCTTCGTTATCCGTGTGAAGATTATCCACCATTGACTTTCATATTAAATATTAGAGATGACATTTTATTTTAGTTATAACGGAATTTTCCTATGTGTATAGAGACTGAGCTTAAAATGTATTGCTACCATATCCGGACTGGATCTACCCAATCTCCACTTTCTAGCCTTTACAGTGTTCAAAACATTTACGCGGCCTTGTGTGGGATGAATTATGTTCTACGCTACAACTCCTTTCACATAGAAGAAAAGTTGCTAGCCTCTTGCTATTTTCATGACAAATATTCGATCGAACTGCATTCTTTAGTTCCACTAGTTCAGAGACTTACATCTAGGACTCTCTATGCCACATAGACCGGGTTAAATAATCCTCATCTTCATTTTCCAATCAGACTTTTCATCAGAAGTGTTAATTTCTGGCATAAATTCCAGAGAGCATGCTTCTTCGATTTCTGGAATATTATCCTCTCCAAGTTTAAGGTCAAATTAAAATCTTACATATACTCATAGTATATCATAATATACACCTCCTATTCTCTCCTTGTAGACCTAAAACGATAATTCAGTAAGTCTCTACCTTGAGTGACTCTTAGGCCTTGTATATCAATATGATTACAAGCGTTTTAATAAGTTATTTGTTCCTATGATATTTCACTTCTGAATTGTCCTTTTTCCTAGACTGATTTCCTAGACCTTTTTCCTAGACCTTTTTCCTAGACTGATCGAAAGCCTAGCTTGATATGGGTTAACATAAGCTGGTGGGTGGGTGGAGAAATAAATTCATAAATTTCCAAGGGAATTTGTGTAAAAGTAACTGCAAAGTTATTCACTGGTGTTTGAAATAAAATGGCAATCCCACTACGTGCCTATCGATATAGAGCTCTAGGATAAATATATAAAATACAGGAAGCGTTCATTATTTTAAAAAAAATATAATTATACTAATATTACTGCAAGGATTATCCAATGCATAGCGAACAGATAAATCAGAATGACTTGTTCTATATCGAGAATGTTTTAAAAGATACCATATTTAATTCCATACAAAATTTATATTTTTTTTATTTTTCTATTTGCAACAGAATTTAGAAAAATCACCGAAAAAAAAAACCTGCATGTGTTTCTCTAACGTGAATACGAGCTAAATTGATTCCATTATTGTCCAAGGCACACCGAATTGCTTAATGTCTTTTTTCCTTCTTTCTTTTTATAGATTATGTCTAAACATATTTACGTTCGCCTACTGCGCATCTTTACTCTGTCTACATTGAGTTGCATCGTACCAACTACGTCTGGTCACGATGTCTCAAGAGCCATAAATTGTTTTCAGTTCACGATTTCAAACAAGTCAAACCTACTTATGATCGATCTGACAAAAATCGATCCGCTTCGCACATCACGACAGTCAGTATTTCATATGTTTGGATAGAATTAACGAGACATTTTCTTTCTTTCTTTCGTTGTTTCTTTTTTTTTTTTTTTTCACCTTTACTTTATTTTTCAATTACGCTGTTGTTGCAAGGCGAGTTTTCTTACCGCAGGCGATGACACCCGTACTTTCATCTACTGCCACCCTCGCACCCGTTCAAGTAGATCTAGCACTTTTATATCAATATCCCCCTAATGATTACGTTGCGAGAAAACTGTGCTGCGCGCGCGTACACACATATACACGTATTTATAACACGGCTAAATAAAAGCAATATATATGACAGGAAAAAAGAAGAAGAAGAAGTAGACCGTTTAAAAGACGGAGTTGTATTTAGAAGCCATAGCACACTGCAGAATTCAATCGGACGTCTGTGATACAAAATTCATTATTCCGCGGTATTGGCCTCACAAAAAGATTTATCCATATCTTCAATGAATTTCTGGTTCTTGATACAAGGATGTTTCACCTTTCTAGCTATCATATAAAATCAGTATTTGAGACGAGAAACGAAACCATGATTTCGAGTGATAAGATAGTCTGTTACATTGTCGAAAGGATTCTCGATAGAGTTCTTCACCAATCCATACAATCCTAATTTCTCCGGCTTACGGCCCCATCATGTTGAAACGCCGGGTTCTTTAAGATCACCTAAGTTAAACAACGTTGAGCCTGGTCAGTACTAAGATGGGTGACCGCATAGGAATACTAAGTGCTTTAAACCTGAATGTGCGAATAGTGTAATGGCTCGGAATTGTAAATCGGAGAGCTGAGTTCTTGTGGCAGTCGGGTTCGTTATATTTATTTTCGAGCAGCTACTCTTGAAAAAGGTATGGATCCACCTCCCCTCCCTCAGCTATGGGTTAATCAGTACGACTACTATTATTTCCAAAAAGAAAATAAATATCACATAGAGATTGATATGCCGCTAAATAAATACCACCAACCAACCAATCAACCTGATTTCTTCAAATCTAGGTTCAATCGATATATATCCTACCTATCTTCATAATATGCAGCTCTTGCTTCCTTACAACAACTCTTAAACTGGAGCGGTTTTTATAATTCCTATTGGGTGAACAATAGTAAAATATATATATATTAGCGAGTCATAATATTTCAAACCCCTATTTAACGTTGTACCGACAGAAGCAAAAGTTTATAAATTAGAGACTACGACACAAAGATTAACAACATAGTCTCACCGTCCGTTACTACTGTTTGATATTCGAACGATTCTGGTCGTCCTAGATTTGTCCTAGACTTGCAATAATAAGATAAACTAATGCCAATGTCCTCCAGAATCTTTTAGTAATAAAATAAACTAATGTCAATGTCCCCCAGAATCTTTTCGTAATAAGATAAACTAATGCCAATGTCCTCTAGAATCATTTAATAGTAAGATAAACTAATGCCAATGTCCTCCAGAATCTTTTAGTAATAAGATAAACTAATGTCAATGTCCTCCAGAATCTTTTAGTAGCAAGATAAACTAATGCCAATGTTCATACCAATTCTTTAGTAGCAAGATAAACTAAAGTCAATAACCTTCAGAAATTTTAGAAGTAAGATAAACTAATACCAATGTCATTCAGAATGTTTTAGTAATAAGATAAAATAATGCCAGTATCTTTCGGAATGTTTTAATAGCAAGCTGTATTGCAGATATATATTTATAAAATAACAAACTAGGTTTGCAGATAGGGTAACGATTATCAGTGAGCAAAATTGAATCGGTGATCGAGGTTTCTGCGTTTCCTTCGCACTAATGCCTTTGGAAAAGTGATGAATCTAAATGTACTCAACGTGAATCAGTGGCAATTAGAGAAGGACCATTCTTCGAAACACATTCTATTACCTATCCCTAGAAGACATGCTTATTCATAGATAATAAATGAAAAAAAAATCTGTGGAGAACCATGATTGAATATTTCTCATAGAAGATGCCGTTCTATCATGAAAAGAATATTTTTCTAAATTATTTTACAAATTATACTATAATCATATAATAAATTCATTTAATTACTACCAGGAAAATTGCAACGGCGCTTCCGACAAGTCTGTCAACCTGGGGACAGGAATGGTTTTGGAGCCGATGCATCATGAACACGAATTGTTTCTCGCGGCATTTTTGTTGGCTTCTTTTACACTATTGCGATTAGGCCAAAATTCCAATGCAGATGCTTTCTCTGTTAGAGTTTGGTATTTGTCCCTTTCTTCGAATTTAATTAGGTATGCTGATTGTTGCGTTACAGTCACTGTCAGAAAAATGCAATATTTCACTATACTTTAATTAGTTTGCAGTTATTCACATTTTGGTAGTTATAGATGTTAATATAGACACAACGTTTCGGCCAAGTACACTCTAGCCATCATCAGATTTCTATTATTTGACTGATATGGTATATCTATTTATCATTTTTCTTACCTGATTTAATTGATTTGATTGATGAGAAAATAATCAAATTGAAATCTAAATTGGATTTTGTTAGATTGTTATATAAATTTAATCGACTTTATATTTTATTTTAATATTTATTACTTATTGATAGTTCTGATGAATCATTCAACAATATATTCCTCCTTCGCACATTCTTCCAACGATCCACTATCTGTTCAATGTCTCGACCATAATAATCACTAGGGTTTGACTTGAAAAATTAAGGAAGTTACATTTTGAGCTCTATATCATTGTTGTATCCTCCTGAAATTGTTAGAAAGCAGCCGAAAATGTTGGTATTCTGAATGCGCTACATCAGGGAACTATAGTGGGTGTGTCAGAATATACATCATTGCAAGAGAATAAGAAAGTGCTCAATATTTACAGGACAGAGAAACTGCTTCGATAACTTTCGAACAAAATGTCCCTCAAATAAGTATACATTGATTTCTGTCACTATTCCTCCGGTCAGTTAAATGCTATGACATTAAACTGGATGTGGTAGCATAAGGTGGCAGAAAATTGAGAAGGGCCAGACTAGATGCAACACCGTAGAAATGGCAAGGGCACGCCGAATCCAAAATTTCTATCTGGTTTTTACATTTACTTTCGCTTTGATGCCCTTAGACATGAGTCAATCTTTTCTCCGCTATCTATGGTATAAATAGTTGAATAGAAAGGTCTCTCTAAACATTGAAGATAACCAGTCAAGGAGAAGGAGTAATCTGAATTCAAATCTGAAAAACCATTCCACTATCCTTTTCAAAACATAATTCACAGATAAGAAAAGAAAACGAATAATAAGCGCGTGGAATCTGAGGCGAGACATTATCATGAAGTCAAGCAAAGCATCGGGAAAGAGTATATAAACTACTTAATGATTTTGCTTGAACGGGCGACAGAATGAGACAATACAGGATGATAAAGATTTAAGTTTCTATGAGTCACAAAATGCGGGAAGTTGTTGAGATGTATGATCGCCCACGTCTTGGAGGGAATAATATACGTAAGATAAGTGAATACCTTCTTATTTGAAAGATTTTTTCACATGGTTTCCAGTGGAATAAGCAATCCTTTATCGATTTCCAATAAATAGTGAAGGTTTCAAATGCTGATTTTTACGGTAGACAAACCATTCTCAATTGGAAGATTAGAGCAATACTATTTTCCAACATCCATTCCTAACATTCGGTCTTACAGTTCGACATTTTTTTTTGTTTTTTTTGTCCAGTTCCCTGTTTAACAATCTTGTTTCCGTTGTTCGAACACTGACCTGTTTCGTTTATTCAGGCACCCGCTGTATCTCAAAAAATATTTTTTCTAATTCTTTACTATTTATCTAATTGCCTTATTCGGTGAAATCGCATGATTTCAAAACGAGATGAAGGTTTTTGATTGATTATCTCTTTGCCAGCATTACGTTCGACGAAGAATAATAAAAAAAAAAAAATAAGGATGCAGTTTGTGTTACCATAGCGTTTATTTCACTGTTATAAATATGAAATCCACGGATAAAGAAAAGGCTGAGAGAACTGACGACTTAAATCTTCACGCAAATAAAGAAGCTTCAGGCAACAGAAATGTCGTTCTACAGAAAGATGCTGAGGATACCATGGGCAAATCATGTGAGCAACGAGAAAGTTTTTAATTAAATACAAACAAAAAGAACGCCCATAGTTAAACCTAGATAGAAGCAGTAGAAATTTCTTGAACATGTTTTCAGGAAAGAGAACTTCGAGAATTTGACACTCTGGGCATATCGAAAGCAACATGGACACTGGTAAACAGCGAATAACCTAACTAACAAGCTTGTGCAAATAGATGGCATAATGGGGATTTGAAGGGAAGTCGAAATGACTTACTAAGTGTTAGAAAAGATAAGAAGTTGTGGAGGGCCTTGATCTTCCACGTTCCGAAAAGAAACAACACATACAAGAATATTCTCATCTGCTTTGTTTTTTGGAGGAGGCACGGTGACTTGGATAGCGGCTTGGATTGAGGAATCGGAGAGCCGAGTTCGAATTCCAGTCGAATCCATTACATTCACTTACGTGCTAATACCCTTGAGAAAGGTGTGAATCCTCTTCTTCTCCCTCCAGCTATGGGTAAATAGCAGGACAGACTGGGTTCTATAGCCTTGGATGGCAACTGGTCTAGGAGAAGGAACACTCTGAATTCAAAACCTGCGGAGGGTGAATGGAGTTTCTCTGAGTCTTTAGTGATGGTGTCACGATAAAAACACCCTTGATAGCCCTAGCGAAGCATCTAGAATTCAGCTATTTGACAAGATTATGAACTACATTAATCAAAGTATTAGGTATGACAGATAAGGTATACTGGAAAGGTGTAGTGAGTTCAATCTCGGCTGAGGCCGCAAGATATATGTTTGTTTTTTGAGCAACCTTATTCTATAGTAAGATAAACTAATGTCAATGTTCTTCAGAATCTTTTAGTAGTAAGATAAACGAATGACAATGTCATTCAGAATCTTTTATTAGTATAAGAACGAGAACTGTAGTTATTTATTAAACTTAGGTAACTTCTGGCAAAAGGTAATAAGTATGTTACATTTGGTGAGGATTGAAATCACTAGGCAATGTTTCTTTAGCGTAGCATGTTAAGTATTACCCCATAACGGGTACTGCTCTCCTTTTCATACATTGAATACTATTGCTTTTTTGTACGCTCGATTATTTCCACTTGCAATGCCTTTCCAGCTTATAGTAGCAACGGCTTCATTTTTTCTATTCTTTTTTTTTTTTTTTTTAGAAAGTTGGAGATCATGCCTCTCCATAATGTCCTGTCCTTTGTAGCTCTTTATAAATGTTGTCTTTTTGTTATCTGTCCTAAACCTTGCTCCGTCATCCATTGACACACACTCTCTAGGTAGGTTATGGGTGCTTTTCCTCTGTCCCTCTTGCCACCAAATTGTTCTGTGAGTATCAAATTTTCCAAGATCTCTTTTCCTCATTCTGTGCCCTAGAAATGTCAACACTCTTTACTTCATGCTAATCTGGTTTCCTTTTTATTTCTATTTTCACTAAAACTTTATCGAGTTGTATAGCCCCTTGGTATCAGTGGTCTTATCTCGTCTTCTCTTGGCCGGTGACAGCTAGTTGTTTCGATTCGGAATGAAAGACTCCAACAGAAAATTTTAACATAACTATTTTATTAATGTCGACATATATTGAGTATCCAGTGGGGTTCTCTCTTCCATCAATGGGGAGCTGTTTCAGACACGAACGAGAACACATATACTTTGTTTGACAGTTAAGAC